ATCCTGGGGATCGCTCACACCCGCTCCCTGGCTCTCTGGTGCTCTTTGTTCGATGCTAGTGTTAACAAAAGCCTCTTGACCAAAAAATGCTGAGGTTACACAAATATTTGACAAAGAATTGTCTCTGCTGATGGATTGAACATGCTGAGAAAGTATGGACGGATTTCCTTTTCTTAAAGATATGTGCAACAAAATTACTTGTCATTCTGACATCTGCAAACACATTCTCCGAGGCAGAGTTTAACAGCATGTCATAGACAATTACGACATGTGGCCCATCAGATGACTTGTCTGGGTGCCCTGGGCTTTAGTGATGGCAGCATCCGCTGCTGCTGAGGACACCACATGTGGGCAGTGAATAAATTCAGTGCACGTTATCCTCATTCGGTCCTAATTCGTCCCTACTGAGCACCTCAACTAGCCCGAAGTCCGTAAGGGCACAGTGATGATAACCCGGTGACCCCAAATTGCTGAGATTTGCTACAGTCCCAAGATAATCTTTATGATGGCTAAAGTCCTAATTGCCACTAAATGAACAACAGTCACTTTTATGTGTAAGTCACCCAAACTTTTACAGAAACAGGGATACATGTGCTAATGAACATTAGTAGTCATTTTAACTATATTTTTTAGTTGCTCTTGCGACACGGACTTCATTTTCGGTTGTGGTTTATGCTCGTAACTCCTCTAAGGAAAAAGACAGGTGGACGCGAGCAACAACAACCAAGGAAGTCCCCTGTCGGAGAGGCCAGAACTCTTTTAGGTCACAAGTTATTACAATACGAGTAAGGGCCCAGGCCTGGTTAAAGCATTCATCAGAAGATGAGTCATCACTGTTAGGGCCAAGGCAAAGACATCTAGGATCATTGCAAATGATGCCTGAGCTATTTGCTGTGGGATTGATGGGGCAATAACTTCACCCAAAAATTTCTAATGTTGCAACCAAGGCATAAAGTAGGCCATGCGATTTGAATTGCAGTGGAAGTCAACGAATCCAGCAACCCCTCTGTCAAGGATTCCTGGAGGCACTTTGCTTCACCCCTGGCCAACTACAATAGCATCCTGGCAACTGAGCTCCTGTCCAGAGTCTCTCACCGCTTCAGTCTCTTCTATCCACACCTTTGTCTTCATCCCAGAAATAGCTCCATTTCAGTGCTCCTTTCCACCCCCTCAAAAACCATCCTTGAATCCCCTTGCCTGGATGGGATTTGACACCTTCCACGCTGACCTGTCCCTGCTCCACTGTCTCAACCCTCTTGCTTGAAAACTAGTCAATGCACCATCCCCCGTGTTTCTCATGTCCAGCTAGTCTCTTGTTTGGAATGATTTCTCTGCCCTGCTGAATCCCACCCAATGCTTGAGACTCTGCTCTGCCCCCATTTCTTCCGTCAAGTCTCCCTTAACCACCCTCATCGTTCTTCCTCTGCTAGCACTCATTCATTCCCAGTATGCCTTGGAGCACTCATCACATGGATATAGAGATTCTTATCAGGTAGTGCTTGCCACTTGTTTGGTACATATCATTTCTCTGTTGAACTGACAGAATCTTGGCATGCAATGTGCCTGTCTCGTTGCCCCCTCCTCTGCCCCCAGTTGCATCTTCTTGGTCTTCTCCATGGCGTGTGATGCCACACTCCCCGCAGAGAAGAGCCCGCAGGCAGCAGGCTGCTCTGCCAAAGTCAGTTCTCTCGTGCAGTTAATGCCTTGACCAGGAGTCACAGCCTACTGGCTGGCCTTGTTCGCTCAGCAACACGTCTTTCCATCAGGACTCTCCTAGCAGCAAATCCTGAGCTCTGGGAGCCAGAAACGCAAACTCCAAAGGCTAGTCTTTGGGCTACAGATGTCTCAGAAGCATCCTCTCTCTCTTTGCCCTCCAGTCAGAGTTCTCCCAACATCAAAGGTCAGTTTTAACTTCCTGATTTCCTTGGAATATGTGTAGATGTACATACTTCCCTTGAATATCAAAAGGCCTCTAATTTCAAATACAATTTCCACAAGTAAAACTGCCAACTTTACGCAAGTGCCAAGAGCCTCACATCATGGCTGCCCCGCATCTCTGGCTTCCTTGTTGAGATCTCTCTGGCATCAGGATCCGAGGAAGCGTTTTGGTGAGGTCTGTGGAAGTGTTGAGAGGAGTCGGGGCCAACCGAAGCAAAACAGGCACATCTGGGAATTTGTAGACAACACAGTGTGTGATCATCTCTACCCTCGATGAATGGGAGCACGCTGGGGGATGTTAGGAAACCCCCATAGTGCACTGCCAAGTTCATGATGTGCCCAGAGGGTCATCCCAACTCCCCTGCAAAGGGGAACAAGAATGAGAAATGCACAGCTTCACAGAAGGCTTCCAGACCTTGGAACTGTCCGACCCCACCCCCCAACTGGCAGAAAAACCCTCCTTGTTAAAGGGTCCCTCCAGCCGTGTAGTCCCAGATCCCTCTGGCTCCGACAAGAGTGCTGACCTGCCCTCCGCAAGTGATGCTGGGACCCCCAAAAGACGAGAGGAGCTAGTGGGGAAGGAGACGTAAGTGGCCCCATGTTTTAGTAATGTCAAGCACAGTATTTGGAGCGAGGATGCACTTAAGGGAAAGGCTGGTGAGTCGTTTGCATTTGCCTTTCCTCTTTCCAGCGGGAAAGAAGGCCAAGCATCTCATTACTGCGAGGGGAGCAGAGACTCGTGTCAATCTTCTCGGAGCAGAATGCCTCCCAGCATCACAGTGAGCTCTGTAGCTGTCAGCGCTGTGCCTCAGCGGAGGCCTTCTCCCAGCTTACTTACTCACAGGGGCTCCTAAACACGCTGACATGCTGCCTAAAATAGAACCCACAACCCTGCCACCTAAACGAATCCGGCCTCTCTCGGCTTTCAACTCAGGCCAATCCAATGGAGTGGGGCTTCTCAGGCCGAAGACACGGGGAGGCCAGAGTGGACCGGTCAGTGTGGGTATGGGACGAGGCCCCTGCTCTCCAGGCCTCTCCACACTGCCAGTGGGGTCAGAGGAAGAGCCTTTGAAGCCTGAGCTGTTTCCTGCAAGGCCACTCATCAATGCAGTACTTACGTGCTCTCATCTATCGATGTGGACTCCTCCTGATCTTGCTGGCTGGCCCTGCTGGGACAGGCTCACTGCTGATGCTGCGGGCCGGACCCTGCAGGCTTGCTCAGGGAGACCCGCAGAGCTACGGACTCCCTAAGGGCCTGCTGACCGCTCTCGCAGTCATTACGTGACCTTCATCAGCATCCACGGACAACTGCCCCCGATACTTAGCATGCACACGGCTCTTCCAGCAGCGCCATCCCACGGGGGCTTCTGCGGTGGAAGCAACGGCCTAATGAGGAGGGGGCGCTCCCTCCGTCGCGATCCTCCGCACCGAACAGTGTGCTCTTGGGGTTCTCCTGCAGTTCTTGTTGCTTCTGGAATCCCAGTGATAGCGGAGTCTAGAAACCATTCGTCCAAAAGACATGTGTGGAGAACCTGTGATAAAGCCCCCTCTGGAGTGCTGCGGGGGCAGAAAACAGAAGCATTTATAAACTCAGACTGCAAGCAGCGTGTTGTCTGGAGGGAAATTGCAAACGGGAGGCAGTGCCCTCCCTAAGAGTGGGTCCTCGCCTATGTCCTCCATGCGGTGGGAACCAGAGGACATGATGGAAGAGCCACCATCTGGGGCTCAGCGGACCTGGACTCCAGCTCTGTCACTCACCAACGCCTCCATCAAGTGACAGCTGAGCCTACGCGGTCTTACCCACTTAAAGGGGGCGGGACTAATGCGCACTTGTTAGCGGACCTAAGATCGTGGAAAGAAATGAAACCGTGGACGTAAAAGCACTTCCGGAGACAGTGTTAGGAATAGGTCTTGGTGGCCCCGAGGCCGCGTTACCACAGATCGCATCTGGGAGGGGACCCTGGAAGGTGACTCAAAGAGCAGCGCTGCTGAACCATGCCGTGCTGTGCGGAGGGGGAAGCATCCAACCGCCAGCTCTGTGACTCCCCTAGAAGAGTCCATAACTTTGGAAGACACATCATCTTTTCATTCTGTACTAGCAACATACGAATGTGATCTATGTTTCCGGGTCTCGGAGACACCCTGACCATTTGCTGTCCTGCCCGTGCTCCCTTCCTCCTTAGCACCGTGACTGGGTCCAGCCAGGCCCCTCCTGCAACACTCCGCCTGATCCCTTCACTGAAGCCAGAAGCTACTAGATGCAAGCAGAAACCTTATCTGCCACCTGCCACAGAAGCCCTGAACTTCTAACCCGTAAGACCCAGTTTCAAAAAAAAAAAAAAAGACCCAGTTTCAAACACATTGTCTAAAAGGCACATTTTCAAAATTTCCATCTTCGGTTGCCATTCCAACTCTATTTTAGTTTCAAGCATTTGTTTGTGATCCCAATTCTCTCAAGCCTTCAGAAAGCTGAGACTCCTAGAGCTGGTAGGTGGCAGAGCTGGGAATGGAATCCCGTCTCCCTGATGCCAGAACCAGGGTGGTGAGGCGCACTCCTGCTGGGGTGACAAGGACCTTGAGGGAGGAGTAGGATGAAAGGTGAAAGGATGCAGGGATGGAGAGAGTAGAGGAGAACAAGGCAGGGGGAAGGATGTGAGGGAGCACGCTGGGTCTGAGGGGCTCCTCTGGGGAAGGGATATGGCTCTCCTGCTAGACGAGGGTCTTGGGTGCCATGAGAAGTCCATCTTCTAGCTGGTTCTGAGACAACAAAGCAGATGTCTGTGAAATCCCAGGTTTGTGTCCTCACTGAGGCTTGATTTTACTTTCAAGTAAGATGCTTTCCCCTGCCTTTCCATGCACCCCATTCATGTGTGCTTATCTCTCCTGCAGATGCTCATGCCCTGCCACTGTCTTCCACACCCACATCTCCAGATCTGGTCACCATGGTCTCTCAATGGGCTCTTGGGAGGCTCCTGCACAGAGCAAGGCATGAGTGGTCTTCAGTTGCATGTGCAGACCCAGAGCAGAGCCCAGCACCTCACCTTTGGGCCCGTCTCTTGCAGATTATTGGGACCATTCCTCTGATGCCGAATCCGGGGCCATCAAGCCAAGCGGCGAGTGGCACTCAGGGCCTTCAAGTGCAGCCCATCACCCCCCAGCTCCTGACCAACGCCCAGGGCCAGATCATTGCCACGGTCATCGGGAACCAGATTCTCCCAGTGATCAACACCCAGGGCATCACACTCTCACCCATCAAGCCCGGCCAGCAGGTAATGGCCCCAGGTAGCCGTGGCTACCTGGACCCCCCTCCTTACCGCTCATCTTCTGTTTGGTCTCAGTCAATGAAGAGTAATTTTTAAATCACAAAATATTCCAACCTGAATCCTAACATATCAAAAATTTCAAAAGGCAAGTAGTTCTTTTTTCATTCTTAGAGAATACGGGTAAGAACTATGTCTCTAATCCAAAAATATGAGTATATTAAGTTATAAACAAATAATAGCCTACAATTCAATAGGGATGTGTCCTTACTTTGACACTGATGATACTTAATTTTCAGACAATTTTAAAAGGGTTCAAGAAGAAACTAAGACCATTTATGCCTTAACTGTAAATGAGAAAAAAAATTACTCCATTGCACAATAAAGCAGGGAATATCCCGTAAGAGGGCAGGTGTGTACAAAGTTTAATATCATCACAGAGTGGGAGTGGCCAACTTTGTCTGAAGAATTTTGAGTTCTCACAGATAAAATGGTTTGGGGACTGAGTCTTGATGGATGAAGATGGAGCAATGATGGGATCACAGTATGCCAGGCCACGGGAACAGCAGGTGCAAAGCCAGGGGAATATGAAGGAGGATGGAGTGTTGTGAAACAGAAGAAAGGCTCATGTGATTGGAGTGCAGGGGGAGGCTGAGGACAGTCATGGAAAGGGCTCTATAATCAAGCTGGAAAGGATGGACTTCGTCTTTGTGTGATCTTGAATGAATCATGCATCATCTCTATGCCCGTGTCCTCATCTGTAAAATGGGGATAACCAGTACCTGACTCAGAGTGGTTGTGAGGATTCAATGAGTCAATCTATATGAAGTGGTTAGTGCCTGGCACACAGTAAGCCCTTACATAGGCATGATGATGGTGATACCGTCTACTCTGCAGCCTTGGGAATCTGTGAGAGGTATTCCGAGGGAGGAATGACATGCTCAGCTTCATTTTTCAAGAAAACAACTCTAACTCGGGGAGCAGATGGAGGCTGAGCTGAAGTGGTGAAACATCTATTGTAAACAAACCATTTAGGAGACTATAGCAAAACACAAAGAGGAATTTATGAAAGCATGCGCTGGATAACTGAAACCAAGGGTCTGGAATTGTAGTAGCATCCAGGACAGGATCTGAGAGTCAACAAGTGCATATGGTGTAGCTGAGAACAAATCCAACATCCAGAAAAAATCAGCAGGAGCGAGAAAAGGAAGGAAGATGAAGGAGTCACTTGGGGAAACATTAGCTTTTAAGGAATGGAAGAGGAAGGGAGAGACGGAAGAAGTGGCCGGTTCAGGAGGAGAGGAATCCAGAGGGTCACAATCTAGCATCCAAGAGTTTTTTAAAAGTAGGAAGTGGACACAGTGTCAAATGCTACAGAGATGAAATCGGGTAAAGCAATGGAGAAACATCAATTCCTCTCTTTCTTTGTTGTAACTCTTTAAAGTCTGGAGCTGCTCTGTTTGAAACATTTTGAAACCAGCAGCTGGGTGAGTCAAGAAGCAAAAGTTGGAAGGGCTAAGACCCAGATTTGCAGCTAGAGGGTGCACTAACAGGAAAGGTGGTGGGAGGAGAAGACAAATATTAACAGTGAGTACGTGACTGAGTAGATGGCCTCACGGGTTGTTGGAAAACTATAATGTAAAGCATCTAGCAAGGAAGTAAAATACGAAGGAAAGAGGAAGAAGAAAGCACTGCTCAGTTCTTCATCATTCGTCTGTAACAAAGTAGAAGTGTCTTCCCAGAGATCTCAGCCATTTGGCTTCTGATGCAACCATGCATACAGCCCACTCTTGGTGGCACCCAAAGACTATGCTTGCAAAATCCAATCGCTTGTTCAATAAATATTTTTAAAAATCTGTTTAGTATATATATTTATTGACCACCTACTATTTGTCAGGCACTGTACATGGCAGCTAGGCTGGTAGACATGACAGATACCATGAGCCCTTCCTTCATGGAGTTCACGGTCTAGCGAGGAAGATGGACATTCATCAAAGACTTGCACAAATATGTACCTGAGATCTATAGTAAATGTCATGAGGGAGCAGTGAGGGGATCTATGAGTGGGTCAAGCAAGGATACCTCTTCCACTGAGGGGTGAACACTAGGAAAAACCAGGTCAGATCTGAACACACTTCCCAGAGATGGAGACTCTGGTCTTATGCCCTTTGGTTCTCCCTCCAAATCTAAACCACTGCCTGGAGAGCCAAGGCTCCCAGCACCCCTCTTCTTCCTCAGCTTAATCATACCCAGTGGCTCACTCCCTGCCAGATATATCACTGAGGACTTCCCTCCCCTCTCCTCACCCCTATCTCTCAGCTAGATTATTTCTTTTACTATTTACAAGATGCCATTGGACTCTCTGCATTCTAAATGGTTCCCTAAATAAGGCAAGAGCCTCTATCTTTTATTGGCTTTTTAAGACCTATTTCTATCTGTTCAAACTTATGCTAAAATTATCTCTAGGGGGAAAAATGAGATCAGCCTCTTTTCATTCAATCTGCTAAAAACTATTTCTGTCAGCAAAGCCAAGTTGTAAATTGCCACAAAGGTGATGAATTAATTAGAAATCATCAACATTTAATACAAAACAGCTCTCATTCTCGCCTTGGATTTCAGAGGAGGGCGTGTAGGTGAGAGACAATTCCAGTTACATAAAATTACAGCTCTAGATTTGAGGTAGGATGGTTTTAATCCAGGAGAAGGACCTAGCCAAGAAATGGCAAAAAAAAAAAAAAGGCAGATATGGTGCCATTCCTCCACTCTTTGTCCAAATTAAACATCATTGATCCATTTCCGCCACTCTGGGAACACCTGGTCCTCTGCTGCTCTGACGACCATGACTGTCTTCTTCACAGTAGAACTGGAGAGCTAGCAACTGGTAAGAAACAGCCAGCCCCTTGGGGGTGTGCCTTGCAAGTCCACTTCGTGTCAGTTATGACCAGCATCCCAGAGAGCAGGACTGTCCTGGACGGTGTACGTGCGTGCTGAGAGGACACATGAACACAGCTGGAGAAGAGTGGCATACGAACCTTCCTGAATGTCCAAGTCACAGCAAGTGCCCCCGGGCCTGTCCTTCTTGTTCCAGCCATGTGCACATGGTCTATTCTAGTCCCGAAAGATCGAGGGAACGAATGGGGAACCTGGTTAGAAATACCAGGAAACCGGGGGCGCCTGGGTGGCTCAGTCATTAAGCGTCTGCCTTCGGCTCAGGTCATGATTCCAGGTCCTGGGATCGAGCCCCGCATCGGGCTCCCTGCTCCGCGGGAAGCCTGCTTCTCCCTCTCCCACTCCCCCTGCTTGTACTCCCTCTCTTGCTGTGTCTCTCTCTGTCAAATAAATAAATAAAATCTTTTTTTTAAAAAAAAAGAAATATCAGGAAACGGTGGAAAGAAATGAATGGCTATTGCTATTTCTTGGCACCAGCTCTGAAACACCTTGAAACACCCCGGAACATATAGTAGAGTTAACAAGTTGGGTGAATTGACAGGAGATGCGCAAGTCTGAGTCCTGGATATAAAAGCTGGGATCCTGAGATCATAAAATGCCCAAGAGTCCAAAAGTAAAAAGCCCAGAGCTGGAGGTATAAGGATAGTAGTCTTCAATTTTTTTCTTTAAATATTACCCTTTACATTGAAGAAATATAATACAGACAACCACTAAAAAATAAAGGATTTCTATCATACAGTAGAGAAGTTTCTCAATTTATTTTTTCATGTGATTTATGACAAATGCCTGATCTCACAAGAGCATAGTTCCAACAGTAAAATACATCATAAATTACAGGAGCAGAAAGTTCCCTAACTCACACTCAGAAGGGAGTTCACTTTCATGGATTACCTTGGACCAGATTACCCGGGGTGACTTGTTTTAATTTAATGAAAACAATTACATCTTTAACTTCATTTTTACATCTGCCTAGCATTAATTAAAGGAATCTGAATAAAATCTAAGAGTGGACCCTCAACTACTCTTGATGATGATTTATTCCAATGATAAAAGATTGAGAACCTGCGAAGTTATCATCTGGAATGCAAGCAATATATTTTTAAAATACATATCAAGACTCAATGGCACTAGATCTAGCCTTCACAGTATCACATCAGAGATTCTTGGTAAGCAATGCAAGAGAATAAAAGTCAGAAAAAGACTAGATTAAAAAAAAAGAAACAGAGAAAGATAGAAGTATCTTTCTGGGCATGAAAAAAAAAAGCTACCTAATACAAAAATATTTGGTGGATTTTGAAAGTAAGCTTCTGTTCCCTCCATGAGACTCTGCAGCTACTGTGGATTATGGAGAATTCCTCACCAAAGTGAGAGGGCCTCACATCCCCTAGTTTGCCCTTACAACCCCGTGACCGTGAATTAATGATTTCTCCGTAGCAGCATAGACATCATTTTTGTGTATATTTTTTCTCCCTTTGACTAAATTCCAACAAAAGCTAGCGGGAGTTTGTAGCACCATTAAGAGGGTGGAGACACTTGAAAGGGAAAGTGTTGCAATTTGTAAAATCAAAGCAGTGAAATTTTTCAGAAACTAAAGGCTGTAGCTCTAATCCTTGAAGACTGCCCTCTATGAAGGCACGCAACTTCTCTTCAAAGAGTAATCTTGGCCTTTATAGGAAACCAAAGGAAGGTAGTTCATTTAAATCGGCTCCTCAAAATGCCATCTGATTATCCAAATCCATTCATTTGTTTTTCAAGTAAATACAAAATGTACTCCCTTACCTGTTTTTGAAAATCAACTGCCTTTCCCAGCCCCTGCCTGCCTATCACAGTGGTTCCCCATCTCTTTCTTAGAGCCACCCACAATGAGACATAAATGAGGCATTTCCACCCACAAGGGATCTGAAATAGCATAGGAGTTTTCCTAGATGGATGCAACGTGTATCAGCAACTCCAACACAAAATAGCCCTTTGACCTTGCAGCCAGCCGCACAACTGGGCATCTCGCCCTTCTGGTCTCCCCTTGTTCCTCCCTGCCGAGCCCGGCCGACAGTGCCCTGGCC